GGCAATCCACACGGCCTCTTTTCTGCTATCTTCACTTTTGCCCAATTTTTTTAGATTTTTTTTTTTTCAAATAGGTCCTTTCTTATTTTTACTTTGTCCCTATTTTTCGAAAATATTTTTAAATACACTCAAAACACAATTTTCTTCTTTCAAAAAAAAAAAATAGAAATTCTTCATTGGGCTTCAGTTTCGAGTAAGTTGGATGGACGTTTTGCATTTGATTAAATAAGAAGTGGTTTTGGTTCATAGTATCGGATTGGATCTACTCAAAAAGAAAAAGAGGTTAGGGTTAATCTTTTAAATTTGGACTTGGAAAAAATAAAAGGCTTTGGCTTGGTTTTTTTAATGAAATAAGTTTGAGTTCAATGTTGGCTATTGGTTAAAATGGAGTAAATGGGTTAAAAAGGAGGAAGAATGGGGATTGATTTTTTTTATCTTTTTAACTAGCACAATAATAATAATAATAATAATAATTATTATTATTATAAATTTCAAAATTAAAGAGAAAAAAAAATTGACATCTAAAATTCTTCCCTATTTAATATTTATCATGTGATTGTCTTTCATTATTAAAATAATATTGACATCTAAAATTCTATTATAATTTTGATGCTTCAATTAACTTCATCATGAAATGGAATTATTTAGAAGTAAGGTCAAATTCTTATTTTATTTTCAAGAATTACAAACTGAATTGATTTGAGAACAGTGAATTGTAAATATATTAATAATTACATAAAATAATTTAAGTCACAATTAAATGTTAGAATACATTCTCGGCATTATGATTATTTTGAATTCCTTGTATATATATCTATTCGCAGAAAATTATTAAAACAAAGGAAGAATTTCGTGTATATATTATAGTCTAATTCTCATCCCTTTTTGAGATTTTCAAATATCAAAAATAATATTGACATCTAAAATCTTCCCTTCATAATATCTTAGGTTAAAAATTTAAAATTCAATTAATCACACTTTCTATTTATAATTTTATATCCCCAAAAAATTTCTTAGCCTTTTTAAAAAATATTTAGAGGGAATATCAAATTTATTTTGTAAAAAATATACTTAAAATATATTAAAAAACTCGATGTCAATATATAAAATACTAAATATAATAAACACGTTAGAAGTATCTTAATTCCAAATAATCTTTACTCTAAAAAAAAAAATATTTTAAAATAGGACAAGACCCAAAATTAAATTAAAATTCTCTAAAATTTTAAATCATGTATACATACATATATATATATATATGTATGTATAATCAATGTCTTGGAATGGTGGCAATCAATAGACAGCAAAAGTGAATTCCCTAATTTTTCTTTTAAAAAAGAAAATAAAAGCGGACAGAAAAAGTCAACAAAGGCAAGAGAGCGTAAGAAAGAAAATCACATCCATCCAATGATGCAGATGTTGACCAGCATGATGTGTAATATGGGTCCCACCTGAATGGTCCTGTAAAGCCTTTAGAGTGCCACGTGGCAATTGGATACTAAGCATCGGTGCGGCCACGTGACAGTGCCTAATGGTTTTTGAAAACGACAGGAGACCAAGTCGACACTTGAGGGAATAATAAAAAAAAAGTGAATTGGGTCCTCTCTTCGCCCTTATCATCTAATTTGGGTCCAATCTCTTAAATTAATTCTTCTTTCCAATTAAATTCATATCTTCTTCTTCCCCCACCCCCCCAAACCCAAAAAAAATAAAACAAACAAATAAATTGATATCTTACCATTTCTCATTATTGACTTACGAATATATATATATATATATATGGTTAAAATTGTGAAATGATTTTATTAAAATATTCAAATACAAATCTATAATACACACATATAGTATAAAATTAAACCATTAATTATAAAAATATATATTTTTTAATTTAATTAAAACATATATAAATAATATAAAGTAATGAAATGAATAATGACATATAATATGACTAGATAATTGATAACTATTAATATATTGTTGAGAAGATTGTATTTTTAATTTACAAAGATGAGTAAATAATTAATTAGAAATTTTTTTTTTTGTTATAAAAAAATTATTTATTCAATTAGATACTGTGATATTTAAATTATAAAAAGACTGATATGATAAAATAGAATATCGATATAAATTTATATAGATATATAAAATATGTATTTTTTTATATTTACATAAGTTGTTTCACAA